TAAATAATAGAAGGTCTTTCTAAACGTAGATTTTCCTGGAGTCTTCAAATAATTAGAATCGAAACTTAGTTGAATTAACCCTAAGTGGAACTAATCCGCGCCAAAGCAAATCTGAGATGGCAGTCCACGAATACCTCAGATTTGCGAATTTAGCGTAGTCGTAACAACGCCGTCCTTGACGGGAACTAACAAAGTTTATACTATTTCAAACAATCGCTGATAGGAAGTTTTTTCGCCAAGTGAATGATACTCACAATGATTTCACTGTCTAAGATTTATTGCTGTCTCTAATAGCATATGTAGCAAAGCTATACATTATTTTTCTCTCGTCTCACCAAAAGTGGATGTGTTAATAACACAATCAATGATTAACAATTAAAAAAAAACCCTCACTGAATTCAACCATACACAGCAGAACATACAAAATCAAATCTCTCTTTAAAGTATGCCCCGACCCGTCCGCTCTAATGCTGCGACCACTGGATCGACTTGATGTCGATACCTTCCTGGACCATCTCCCACAGCGGGGACATCTCTCGGAGTCGAGTCACGTGCTTGATCCACTTTTCAGCTATGTAGTCGATTTCCTCGATGGTGGTAAACCGTCCGATGCCAAAGCGAATCGAGCTGTGAGCCAGATCTTCGTCGGCACCAATCGCACGCAGCACATACGACGGTTCCAGCGAAGCCGAAGTGCAAGCCGACCCACTCGAGAGGGCAACGTCTTTCAGCGCCATCAACAGCGATTCACCCTCAACGTATGCAAACGACAGATTGATACATCCGGGATAAGAATGAACTGGATCGCCATTGCAGATGACTTTCGGTAGCGATGCGAAGATTTGGTCCATCAGGCGTTTCGAGAGGAACTCCATCCATTTGTGATCGTACTCCATTTCACGGCTAGCGATTTCACAGGCTTCCCCCAATCCAACGACCAGTGGAGTCGGAACGGTTCCACTTCGAATGCCACGCTCCTGGCCACCTCCGCTCTGAATGGCTTCCACACGAACTCGAGGACGAATGCGAGTTGAATGCGAGAGGCTCCCAAACATACAAACTTTGCTCTTTCATTATCACGACGTTCTTATGCATAATCTAGTGTGACGTAACGTTGGATCATGCGTAAGAACACCGTGAGAACGAAGGAGTCGACTACATTCTTTCTGCCGCACCTATAGTACCGCACACGGTTCCCGCGCTGACTGTTCCTTACTTTCTCACTCTAATCAAAATTTCCTTCGATGAGTGAGAAAACAGCACCCCGTCAACGCGAGTGAGAACGCGAGTTGCCAGATCATTGCACACAAAACCAACTTGAATTAATTCAAATCAAAAATACTAGCGAACCTGGCGGTGAGCGGCGGAAAGTGGTCTAAAATTCTATTACAGAGAACCACCTTATTTTAATTAATTTCTTCGGAGAAAGTCGTCTGTAACTTCGTTTGTGCTATCACGATCTTCCACACATTTCTCGTCGTCGCCAATAGAGGTGCTATGAAGATAGTCGCCAAACGAAGCATGAAACTGAAGCCCGAATGCAAGTGATTCCAGAGCTGTTGAAAAATGTGCTTTTTGTGAATCAAAAAATTTCAACGAAGACACACTGTTACGTTCAGTAAGGAAGGAGTTAAAGTCGTCAATCCGGATGGTGAAGTAATCGCTACTGGAAGTCGAAAGCGTAACTTATTCAAGCTGGATCTACTGCGGTCATCAGAAGCACTAGCGGGTGCGTCTCAAGAGAGTGCGGGCCCGTGGCATAAAAGGATGGGTCACACCTAATTTGACAGCCTACAAATAATGAAGGGTGGCCTGGTTTCCGGAGTCTAATATGCTGATACGCCGTCCAGGAGGAGCGACAAATGCAAGAATTGTGCTATGGGTAAGCAGACAAGTTTGACTTTTAGCAACTCCGGATCACGAGCGTTGGATCTGCTAGAGGTCATCCACTTGGATATCTGCGGACCGATGGAAGTAGATTCGTTGGGTGACGTTTTTCGGATGACAAGTATCGTCGGATTGTCGTGTATTTCCTGGAAGAGAAATCAGCAGAGAGCGTTTATAATGCTTTCCAAAAATTTTTCGTTGCATAGCCGAGCGATAAACAGGGAAGAAGATGATGACACTACGAACAGACAATGGGAAGGAATTTACGAATCGGAAGCTGGAGGACCATTTGAGGCGCTTGGGTATCCGTCACCAAATAACGGCGGACTACACACCGGAACAAAATGGCCTGGCTGAGCGAGTGAACCAAACCATCATCGTCTTCTGGGCGGAAGCAACAGCCACGGTTATTTACCTGGTGAATTGGTCTCCAACTAAAGAATACGGGATGACACCAAAAGAAATGTGGAGCAGTAAGAAACCACACCTCGCGCATGTTTGAGTCTTCGAGTCAAAGTGATGGCGCACATTCTGAAACCAAAGCGCAAAAAGTGGGATGGAAAGGCAAACGAATGCATTCTCACAGGATTTGACGAGGACACCAAGTCATAACGCTTGTGGGATCCGAAAGCCAAGAAAATTTTGAAAAGTCGAGATGTAACGTTCATCAGCGAAGGAGTAGAGCAACCATCGTCGCACAAATCGCAGTCAGCAGCACGCGATCCAAAAAATGTTCGTCTAGATCTGGGTTATCCGTTTTCTTTCGAGGAGGCTCACGTAGCAAGAGTAGCTGATGATGAAGAACAAGAAAAAGAAGAAGAAAGCGACATAGAAGATGATGAACCTATGGAAGAAGCTAAATCAAGCAATGAAGCTGAAAGTTATGTTGACGTAACAAACTAGCTTTACCTTACAGGTAAGTTCAAAGATTTTTTCATTCCAAGCAAACGATTGCCCTTCGATCGTTTTGCAGACAACCAAACCGAATGCAATATCAACGTGAGTGCTGGAAGATGCTGCGATCGTTCTGAGGCAAGTAGCCATCAGCAGGGACTAGCAGCTAGACACCAACCTCCATTCGATAGGGACCCACTTTACGCATCCGAAGCCTTGAGAGGACCAAAAGCGAAACTCTGGAAGGATGCTATGGACGACGAGTATCTATCTCTGATTGAGAATGGTACGTGGGACTTGGTTGAGCTGCCCTCCAATCGCAAAGCCATAGGTTGCAAGTGGCTGTTCAAAACGAAGGAGGACGAGAAGGAAAACATCGTACGTCACAAGGCTCGACTGGTGGCTCAAGGATTCATGCAGAAGTTTGGCGTGGATTTCGATGACGTGTTTGCTCCCGTCGCTAAGCAAGTCACTCTTCGGACACTTCTCACAATCGCAAGCCTTCGTGACATGTTGGTGAAGCACATGGATGTGAAGACCGCGTATCTTCATGGGAAGCTGGAAGAAACCATTTACATAAAGCAGGCAGAGGGATACACCATGGGAGGCTTCAACACAGTCTGCTTGTTGAAGAGAAGTTTGTATAGGCTGAAGCAATCCGCCCGTGTCTGGAACCAATGCATCGACGCAGTGTTGTATTAATATATGTCGATGACATGCTAATCGTCTGTCCAGGCACTGCAACAATCCTTCAATGTGACAGCACTTGGCGACAAAAAGCATTTCCTACCTGAAGCTCGCGTAACAATTCGGTCTGGAGAACGCCAAGCCGTCGAAAATACCGTTAGATCCTGCATACCTGCAGCAGAAGGAGGAGGGGGTATGGTTACCAAACAATACTCAGTACCTGAGCCTCATCGGCGATCTACTGTACGTTGCAATTCATATCCGGCCTGACGTAGCAGTAAGCGTATAAATTCTGGCTCAGAAATCGTGTTGCCCGACGCAGCTGGACTGGCAAGAGGCCAAGAGAGTCTTGAGGTATTTGAGATCTACTTGCGACCATAAATTGTTTCTAGAATAGGGCCCATGCATTAATTATGTCACGCTAAATCGAGCAAAAAATCACCCCCTCCCCCCTATCGTGACGTTTTTCCTATACCTAATGCATTGCTTGTCACAAAAACCTTAGATCCCTTCTCCAATTCCCGTTTCTTGATTCGACTCGGAGGAGGTGTCATCAGTTGGGCATCGCGCAAACAGAGCTGCGTGGCGCTATCGTTAACGGAAGCTGAGCTTGTGGCATTGACTGAAGCGTGTCAGGAATTGAGTTGGTTGAAGAAGTTGCTAATTGATATGGGAGAAGATGTTTCGATGCCGGAGACAACCAGTGGGTTCAATAACTCCCGGAATCGATAATAACGTGGCCAGAGATCGTATAAACATCTTAATTAATTATTCCTACTTTCTATATGTCATATATCTGGCAAATAGCATTTGGTCATACTTGTGGTAAAACCGAAAAAAACAGACATTTGCATCTTTCAAACGCGGGGAGGGGTCTAGCGGAGCGTAAACTACGTTAAAAATTAGATCCACTATTCCCCTTTAATAATCTTTTTATGAAAATCGGTTGTAACATTGCTGAGAACGAGCATTTTGAAAAAAAATCTCGTCCTGGTACTTTACGGGTTAAGCCCTAAAAATTGTTCGTGGTTCAGAATAAACAATTATATCTAGATAGAGCTGGAATTAGGGCGTGACAGCTTTTGTAAACAATGACTTCTCGCGATGATTTCTAGGAACTCAAGGCACGCCCACGCAAACTAACAAAACCATCGGGTAGGGTAAGTCTTCCCATATCCGATGAAGATGATGGTTTGCATGGGCGAGCCTTGACTTTTTAGAAATCATCGAAAAAAGTCATTGTTTACAAAAGCTGTTACGCCCTAATTCCAGCTCTATCTAGATATACCCTATCCGCTCACAAATTTGCGAAGAAGTGATGAAGATTGTGAACACATTTTTTCTATCTCGCTGAAGACTTTTTCTCAAAACACCTGGCACCCCTATATTCAGCACTGTTTGTTGACTTGCTTTCGGCATCACCGTCACTGGTGGGTTTCCCACAAAGCAGTTCATGTTCAACTGGGAAAACAATGTATTTCAGGATTTAAAGAAAAGGACTCACTCAAATCACAACAATCAATATAACTTCATATCTTTACATAAAACTATCGAAAAATGCTAAGCATCTCAGAACCACTGCATCTGGGTTGCGTCGAATCCTTTCTCCTGCAACAGCCGCAAGTACGTCACGAACCCTTCCGAGCGATTTTCCATCCACTGAATGTTGATCCGAGCCAGCTCCAGAGCTTGCCCTATGGCAATACTATTACCGGCCAGTATCGCTTCCTTTTCGTCAATGAACTGCTCCAACTGCGCCAGCTCCCGTCCGGTGATAATCTGCTGCGCCAGAACCTTCACGTGACTGGCAAGCCGTGACTCGAACGTCTCCGGATTCACACTGAAATCAATCGAAATGTTAATCCCTTACCAATTAAAAAACCCCCCCTCAGAACATACTAGTCCGCCATCCTGTCGATATTCTCAAACAGGAAGCTGCTAGCCATCGCGACTCCCTCCTTATGATCCGCTATCGCATGAAACACCAGCGTCGTATCCTCCAGTCTCAGTTCCGAATCTTCCTCCACCGACCACACCAACAACCGCCCAATCAGTTCGCGATCCCTCGTACAGGCCAACCCTTCGGCAATGGCCGCTCTTTCAGCACTGACCACGCCCGCATCACGATACCGATCCCACAGAAAGTCCCACTCTGGTCTTGAACTTTCTCGTATGGCCGTACAGTACACGGTCGACCGCAGCTCCAGTGGAATCAGATTCTTACCGCTGCTGATCCAGAGATTAAACAGCTTCAACGAATTCACAACGCAGTCGCCCATGTCCACGTTGCAAGCCCAATCGGCGACGAGCTTCTTCAGCCGCACCTGTCCCAACCGATCGCCCGTAGTGTTACCCTCGAAGATGTTCAAGCGGTTGTACAGCGGAAGCAGCAGATAACTCGTATAGGCTATGAACATGTCGTAATGGTCGGTATGCAATAGAACTCGATCGAGAATTTCCAGATTGGTGAGCGTTGCCTTCCACGGGATGTATTCGCTTTCTTTGGGAAGATAGCTTAGTAGGGAGAAAGCTATCGAGTAATCCTGAATACCAGCCCAGGCAAAGTCCATGGCATCGTCTACAAGTTGCGCTCGGTTAATTGTATTGATCGTCTCAAAATTCGGTTCATTAAGGTAGTTCGCCAAAAGGCGGTAGTTCTGGTAGTCGTATTGGACTTTGTACAACCCTGCCAGCTGATTGTTCACCATGACCCATTCCGACCTACATGGTAGATTGGTCAGGTGCGGGGTCGTATCTTTGGTACAACCCAACCAACACTGCGGCTGCGTTTGATTAAAGTACGTAAACTGGGAAGTCGAAATGGTCAACGGAATCCACCAGCAAGCTGGATCGTCAATCGTTTCGTCATGCATGAACCTCATCTGCTTGAAAGTTACCGTCCGCAAATCGTAATCTCGCTCTACGTACACAACCGGAAAACCCGTCTGCAGAGTCCAGGTGTCCATCACCGTCTTCACGTCAAATCCCTCCGGGAATCCTCCACTTTCCTGAGCTTCCTCAGTCAAAGCCTGCCACAGGTCATCCTGCTCGGCGTTTCCGAGTTTGAACCTCGCCAAATATCTCCCTACCCCACCATGATACGTTTCATCCCCCAGGAACATATTCATCATCCGTACTAGAGCCGCTCCCTTCTTGTACGAAATGGAATCGAACAGCTGTGGAATCGTCTCGGGATTACCGATAGCGATCGACACTGGGTGACTGCTGTTCAATGCGTCGAATTCAAAGATCTCCAGCACATCTTCGATCACAATTTCCTGCAATGATCGCATCTCCGGGTGCAGGTACTCCACGGCTTGGAACTCCGTGTAACGCGCAAAACCTTCGTTGAGCCACAGATCCGTCCACCAGCGCATGGTCACCAGATTTCCGAACCACATATGCGCGATCTCATGAGCTACAACCGACGCTACAAAGTGCTGATCGTCTAGGGTTCCGCTTTCCGGTGAAAACTCCAATCCAGCCTCAGTGTACGTCACGAGACCCCAGTTTTCCATGGCCGCAAACAGCATGTCCGGAATGGTTATAAAGTCCAGTTTTGGGAGAGGGAACTTCAGCCGGAAGTTCTGTTCGTACAGCGCAATCAGCTTGACGGCGATTTCGTTGGCGTACTGTAGATTATCAAGGGCGTCCTTGCGAGTCCAGGAGCGAACGGTGACGTCGGTAGAATTGTTTGTGGGAACTTCTGCGAAACCGTAGTCGTTGATTGAGTACGATACCAAGTAGGGGCACATGAGAACGCTTTTCTCGAAGCGATCTACCACCCAATTGGGTTGATCGGGGATGCTCTCCGAGCTTAGTAGGGGCATGTTTGATAGAGCATTGTATTTCTTGTGATGTCCTAGAGAGATGTTGAAGGTTGCTTTCAGCTCCGGTTCGTCGAAGCATGGGAATGCCCGACGAGCGTGGATCGCTTGGAACTGAGTTATCGACAGCCACCTGTAATCCGGAAGATTTGGTATTAGGAAAAATTATGAGCAAATATCATTCGCAGTGTAAACCTACGATCGTTGTCCGCTGTCCGAGTCGAGGTAACTGCTCCGGTAGTAGCCTATGACGTCGGATTTGAGCTCCGCTTCGAATGGAATCGTCAGCTGGTATCGGTTGTCGGCGCTCAGCTGCTCACTGGTGCGGATGATGAGGAAATCATTCTGCAGATCGTAATCGACCGTGACGACGGTCAGAGGTTGCGATGAGTTGAGATCGGTGATCGAGGTTTTGCTCTCGTTGATTGTGAGGTGCTTGGCATGCAGGGTGACGTTGTATGCGTCGTAGATGGATGTTACCTGTAATTAGAAGGCATTGAATAAAAGTACTTCGCAGTTTTGATAATGTGTGAGAAGATTGATAGTGATAGATACAGAAGCCTTTGCAGAAGACACACTTCCCTTGAAGGGTAATATTTTCAGTCTAGACGGTGTAGACTAAATTGTAGACGGTGATGGTGCTGGAGTCAGTCAAGTGGAACGTTGCTCGTTTTCTATGGGTATATGTACTATGAAGGTGCTCATTAGTATAAAACTACCGGTGTTGTGCCGGCCGTTGTCTGGACGCTGTAGCAGCTGTGTAAGGTAGCTGGATGTCATTAATATCTGTGATGCGTTTGATTCGGCTATGATAACTTTGAGCTACTGAAGGGTGCATCTTTACTGCACTTCGGAAATATTAATAATATAATTCTTCGCCTTTGTGACAGACTTAAAAAAATTGTTCGATCGTTTCTGTCACTCGGCGTATTTTTAATAGACTTGGTTTTTTTTTTTAAATTGACTTGTTTAACTGCGAAAGGATATAAACGAAGATTGAAACTATGTTCAGTGCGTGATTCAAGAGGAAAATTGACGGGTTGTGATGTGTAGTGGTGCTGCTTTTCAGTTTCTGCTGCTTGCAAAACGACGAGGCAGCGATTTGAACTATGCCACTTTTGAAAGATTGGTGAGATCATTCCATATTTTATATTATTCTGCGAACAATTTCAATTTATATTTGACAACAAGCTGGTATTGGTGGTGATCAGTTGGAGTTATATTTAAGGTTCAATTTACTTTGATGCTTTTTGGAAAATTTCATAAGCAGTTTTTTCCGACGCATTATTTCGGATTACAAAAAGCTCGCACTATTCGATTCCTTTTGATATTTTACACAAAATGACGCAAGCTTTTTGCAATCCAAAATAATGCGTCGAAAAAAACTGCTTTTGAATTTTTAAAAAATACATCAAAGTAAATTGAACCTTAAGGCACAAACCCTCACACACAGATATCCGATTCGAACTGCCCACAAAGCTAGCTTCTTTTCCAATTTTCCTTTTCTTCTATTTTCAGAAAGTGGGTATTACCATAAGCCATAGGACAAGAGTTAGTGCTCATGTCCCAACCGCATGGAGCATAACTTAAACTTTTTAGATTAGATGCTTCCAACTAGCAACCATTTATAAATTACATAACAGCGAAACGTACGGTGCGAGCATGCCCCCGTTTCATCCATTTATTGGATTCTAAAACATCGTGGTTTTAATCTTACATTTAAACAGAATTATCTTGCCCCTTAAATTCCGCACAATGCCTGACCGGTTTGATATGTTTTGCGCATTTCTGATGTGAAACATATATCAAATAGACCAAAAAATGTGGAGGTAGTTATATCATTTTCCAGGATGCTGTCCAGAACTGACTATGATGTGTATACACTCAGCGAAACAAAAATAGCACCATCATGTTTCAATTTCCCTGTCTTTAATACTAATTTCACCTCTCAGTATATTAGCATTCTACCTACCATCCTTTGAATGGGTTAGCTGGTGATTTTGTGGAGCATTAACATTTAAGTCGAGAAATTCTTTTCCTTTTTTTCTTGATTTGTTTTTCGTCGATCTTGATTTCCGTGCTGAGCACCAATGCTACCGACGCCAGGGAGGCAGCTCACACACCTGGACCCTACATATCGACCCATCAACTCATGAACCTGGTCCAACTGCAAGAAAGGCGTGATCAGAGATGTTATACCTCAGAACATCCCGGTGGCGCCGACTGGGATTGAACTACCACTACCACGCTTACCACTACACCACTGGCGCCGCTGAGAAATTCTTAAAACCCGTGTGAAATATAAATACCACCACCCTTTTTAAAAGGTACCCTGCTTCTCCCTTGTTAAGTATATCGAGTATATGTACATATCAAATTGTAGTGAAATCGGATTTATTCCCTGTAATTTAGCAGTCATGGGTCGATCCAAACATCTTACGTTCGAAGAAAAGATAAAAGTCAAGGCCTACCATGATGTAGGTCTCTTTAATAGAACATTGCATTAGGTCCTAAGTAAAATTGACAGAGTTGGAGTTTGATTGAACAAGGTGAATCATCGATGGGTTTTCCAACAAGGTAATGCTGCAGTTCACAACTCAAAACTGACTAACGTGTGGTTTTCTGATAGAAACATAGATGTTCTCCGGATCTAGATCCCATCGAAAATATTTGGTCTATACTTGCTCGTCGCGTTTACGGAAATGGTAAACAATTCGATAACGTAAACATGCTCAAACGTCGAGTTCGAGAATGCTGGGAGCAGATTAAGCAAGAAAAACTTATTTTGTCCATGGCACACATTACTATGTACTCATACAAGTTGTATTTTGAAAAATCAAGACCAACTATTGAAAAGGCCTCAACTCCATTTTGTAAACAATCCTTGTAAGGCCATTTTCTCGTGAACCGAAACTTACACACCAAATTTCTTAAATCTTGTTCGGTACTTTTTTGCTGGATTTGATCGTTATAATGTAATTTTTACCGAATGCTTTGTAAAATATATTATTTTACCAATTTTCCGCAATCAGAACTGCTGAATTTCCGTAATTTATATAATTTTACCGAAAACTGCAAATAAAATTTGCAGATCGAAACTGTAAAAGGCTGCGGTTCCGCAATTCTGTAAACATTGTGACGAATGTACTGTAAAAACAATCTTTTACAAAAACAAGCAGCAATAAAGTACCGAATTCTGTAAAATTTCGTACTGTCAAACTGAACATTGGCTGCCAATTCGATATTGAGTGTCCTTCTACGTTGTGGTACGTAAATACTTTACTTTTTACTAGATTCCGTGCAATTTATGCCGAAAATATAATTAGTTTTCATTTCTGGGCCAATTTCTTTCAGACGTCATGGACGTTTTAGGCAACTCAATGTACTCCTCTACCGCAGAAACTGCATGGAGGTTAATTTTATAATGATGTTTTTTTTTTGAAAACTTGTAAGTCGTTAAGTATTCTTCGGATTTAGTTACCGTCAAAGGATGACATGTTGGGAACTAATAATACTTTAAATAAAAAATATATAAATACACTTACATCTGCGGTCAATAAAAAAGCACGATAGGCCGAACTTTGTTTACAAACTTGCCGAATTTGACATGTTGTAACTTTGTTCTGTTATGATTAATTCTCGATGAACATTTCAAATGGTCCTATCTGCTTTGATCAATTCTCTTCATCGACTTTCTCTTTTCATAACCACTGGTATGCAAACAGGTTTCGCGTTAATTCTACCACATAGTTTGATAAAGGAGGTTCTTATCTAGCGTCCAAAACGTCAAAAACAACAGGGAAAGGTTTTGCAATTGAGTTATTGACGAAAGAGAAAGTCGATGAAGAGAATCGATCAATGCAGATAGGACCGTTTGAATTGTTTATCTAGAATTGAGCTGAAATTTTGACACAGAACCACAAATATGCTGAATTTTCCGTGAACAAAAGGCCAAATTTTTTTAAACTCCTGGAAATTTGGCGATATGGTTATAAATGTTGAAAATAATAGCGTTTTTGATATTCGCAATATTTCAAGATCCTTGTATTAAATTATTTTTCGTACACACAAAATTCACCATAGTTTGGTTTTGCATAACAATATTAGCTTAATTGAGTATAACAAAACAAAAGTACATAAAAGTTGGCTAATTTGCATGAAAATCCGGCCTATGATGTTATTTTTTTGGCTGCTGGTGTAAACATTTATGAAAAAATAAAAAATTGAAGATTTTATTTTAACGTTTTACAATCAGTCATTGTAAGATAAGTTCAGCTAAAAAAGAACAAGATATTTATATTTAGATTTGAGATTTAAGGTGAAAGTCGATGGAATCCACAAATGGCCGCTATTTTGTTTATCTTGCCTTGCCACTTCAAATTTTTGGCGGCACAGATCTCAGAAACTAAAAGGATTTCATGTGCCACTCTTTTCCCGAACTGCAGCATACATGTCATTACAATTTCATGCACGGAAACTTTGTAGTTTCTGAGATTCGAGGCACCAAAAATTCGAAGTGGTAAGGCAAAATAGCGGCCATTTGTGGATTCCATCAACTTTCACATTAAGAAAATAATTATATTACACCGAGTATTACGAAGCAACAACATATTTAACTATTCAAAAACAAAACAACAAGTAAAAAATTGAATGAAATTAAACGAAAAAAACCTCCTTCCGAATTTGAGAAAATATTTTCTTGTTCATTAGAAACGTCTGTTTCATATGTTTCTTACATCTCTAATTTTTCCAGCCGATCTTCGCTTTCTTGCATGAAGTCCTCTGAGAGTAACATTTGCAATGTTTCTGTCGTCAAAACCCTTGACTTTTGTCGCGGGATTTTTATTAATCCTAAAAGAATATTTATTGTGTCTTTCACGTATGATAATCATTACGTTGTTTACCTGTGATTTCAGGATCAGAACTAAGCATGTTGTATAGCTTCTTCTGACAACTGCCCTATTGGTAGCAGTGCATGTTCTATAACTGTGGATTAAAATTATATGCAGAATTGGAGTCATCGGATACCATAGATACAGTCGAACGTATGTTTCCGCTGTTTCTAAATGTTTCAAACTTTTCCGTATCAATTTTAAACCAATATTGTCTCCAATATAACTTTAAGCCGGTAGATCAAATTAAAATCAAACCTGTTATTTGAGCAGCGGTTTCCGGATCAGCAAAGAATCTTAGGCTTGCTAGTGTTGCCATCCGAATTTCCAAAGCCTGGTTTTGGAAAATACACAAGGAGTCCCTATTTCTTTCAGAAGTTTTCTTGAATGTGTTCTTTTCTTTCTATGACGATTTGCTTTTCATTGCCAGTTAACCGCCATTTTTTGATCGGCAACTTGTAAGAAAGATGTAAAGTTGTCTCGAAAATACGAATATAAATAATAAATGGATAAATTCACCTACAGTATGCAAAAAAAGTTTATCCACCCCCCTACCAATTAACATTTCTTTTTGTTTTTCTGGTGAAA